AGAAATACACAGGTGTCCATTTTTTATCTGTAAATGGACAGATGAAAAATGGACATACGGAATGCCTGTCTAAAAAGGGGCCTTCCTTATAGGCAGAACAGTGTAATGGGGAAATCAGAGGTGCTGATGTCTGGTTGTTTCATGTACCTACCTATAGGCAGCTTCATCCATGTACTTAATGTTAAGGATGAGGTTTGGGTTCACCGCAACCATGCTGTCAAGGCAAAATCGACGGGCTCGAAATTCATAGCCCTGGGAAATTATTGTGCAGATTCACCCAGGATTTTTTTTTAAGACCATAATGCACTGCATGGCCTTTGAACTTTGACCAGTAGGCTTAGAGGGGTTAATAATTTGGCTTTTCGACAATTCCCTTCACTATAAAAGGGGGGGGGGGGAGGCATAGTGTCCGTGAACTAGAAGCTGTAGTAGGCAATAGCTGACAAAATGTATAGAGAGAGATTAGTGTCATTTAAGAAACCGCACTTTAATGTTGATGGCCAGCTCAACTGCTTTGCTGCTGTTTTTCTTATTATTGAGCAATTTTTTTTTTTGTCTTTCAATTTTTTGGCTGATATAAGATCAACAAACCATCATTTGCTTGTAAGGAAAAAAAATGCAAAAACAGTGTGCATGTAACCCACCTCACATCATATCGCTCTAATTTGCCACATTCCTCATACCTCCATTAATAAAATAAGTTAGGTATACACCACTAGGCCCTTTATTCCTGATTAAAACTGTCCTGCTATTGGCTAATTTTACACTTCTATATCCTCTTCAGTATCTTAATTCTTGAAGTAAAACTCAATCTTGTGCTATTTGTCTCTAGTAGATTTGGGCCTAGCTTTGCTCATTAAAATGATCCTGCTGCTGACAAAATTTACAAATCTGTGTTATGTGGGGTTTCCTAATTTGTTTTGGTGCATTTCTGCAAATTCCTCAATTTTCTGCTGCTGGCCAGTTTTATTCTGCTTCATTATCTGCTTGATAGCAATTTGCCAGTGATGGGACAGTTTTGCATTAGCAAGAACAAGGACAGCCACAGTCTCTCTGCCAATCAAAGCGGGACTTTTACCATTAGGTGAAAAAGCATGTGTCATTACTAAAGCTACTGAAAAACTGAAATAATTCAGATTGGGGTGCTCACAAACTAAATCACACCATTCTGTAACACCACATACAGCTTGAAGACATCCTCCAAGCATGTTATTTAATAGATTTGTGTATTATTATTACTGCACTCACACTTGCATCAACAGACCCTGTCCCGATGGAATTTATTTATTTTTTTGATTGATACATATTCCCCATGGTATGCCTTTTTATGACAGTAGTTACTTTTTAGCATTAAAATGGCCAGAATTTAACAACAATCCTTTTCCCCCAGCTTTCAGTGGAATTCACCTCTATGTTCAAGTTTGCTGAATTTTAAACAGGATCCCCAGACCCTTGGCAAACTAGGGAAGATTTGCTCCTCACTACAGGCAACCCAGGGTAATGGAGAGATCAGAGATGCTGATGTCTGCTTGCGCTATGGCCTTGCTATAGGCAGGACAGGGGTGCTGATGTCAGCTTGTTCTAGGTACATTTTGTAGGCAGCTCAGCACTAGACATTTATTTATTACAGTTACTTATATAGCACTGTCGATTTATGTAGCACTTTACATATATATTGTGCATTCACATCAGTCCCTAACCCTCAACCATGTACAATCTAAGGTCCCTAACTTACATTCATACATACACATACTAGGGCCAATTTAGACAGGATCCGATTAACCTACCTGCGTGTCTTTGGAGTGTGGGAGGAAACCAGAGAACCCAGAGGAAACCCACGCAGGCACAGGGAGAACATGCAAACTCTAGGCAGATGGTGCCGTGGTTGGGATTCAAACCAATGACCCCCAGTACTGCCAGGCAGAAGTGCTAACCATTTAGCCCTGTGCTGCCCAATACAATGAGAAGATCAGGTGTTCCCCTGATGAGTAATGGAAAATCATAGGTGCGCTCTCCTTGTTCTATGTATGTACAATACGCAGCAGAAGGTATTGGGGAGATCAGAGGTGTAAATGGTTGCTTGCAATAGGTACTCACTATAGGCAACTCAGTACTGGACGATGGTGGAGAAGGTGGACCGCTGATGAGTAATGGACAAATCAAAGGCACTGATGTCTGCTTAACCTATTTAGCTGCTATAGGCAGCACAAGGTGATAGAAAGATCATAGGGTGTTGATGTTTGCTTGTCCTATGTACTTATTTTAGGCAGCACAAGGTAATGGGGCAGATCAGATGTATTGATGTCTGCTTGTCCTATGTATCTACTATAGGCAGCTCAGCACAGGACAATGAGATCAGGTGTTCCTTTAATGAGCAATGAGAGATCAGATGTGTTGTGTCTACTTGCTGTATGTAATTAATGGATGCAGATCAGTACTGGACAATGAGATCAGAGGTAATCATATCTGTCATAGCGCAGTGCTCTTCCACAAATTTCCCTTCTGCTTGTGCACCTTTTAACAGGTTAGACTAGAGCAGTTATGGCAAAACTGTTAGACACCGAGTGCCCAAACTACAACCCAAAACCCACACAGCACAAGGGGGCAAAGTTCAACTGACCACCAGCTCAAGGGGGCAAAGTTCCACTGACCACCAGCACAAGGGGGCAAAGTTCCACTGACCACCAGCACAAGGGGGCAAAGTTCCGCTGACCACCAGCACAAGGGGGCAAAGTTCCGCTGACCACCAGCACAAGGGGGCAAAGTTCCACTGACCACCAGTACAAGGAGGCAAAGTTCCACTGACCATCAGTACAAGGTGGAAAAGTTCCACTGACCACCAGCACAGGCCAAAATCTCATGTGAAAAAAAATTAATTTATTAAAACTCACAGCCAGTCCAATATATATATCCTTTGCAGCGCACTGACCGGCCAAAAGCTTGGAAGAGTTGAGGCTAATGAGTCGTGGCTCGTGACATCTTCCCCTGACGCCGCTACTCCTTTCCTAACATGCGCATGTCCCCTATGTGTGCTGTTATACGACGCTTGGCTGCCGGGGCGACTTGGCTCACATGCCGTTAGAGAAGGCTCTGCGTGCCCGCTGCGTCATGCTTGCCATAGGTTCGCCACCACTGGACTAGAGGATAGATCATGTGTTCCTGTCCGTTTATACTACAAGGGGAGGAAAGCTGCACTATATGTAGCTTACCGTTAGATCACAAAGAAATCAGGCCCACCTCTAATGGGTAATGGAGACTGTTGGGGATTCCTTGGTTTGCTTTCAATGTCCAAGCCAAATTGTGCAATGGGTGTCCCTGAAAACAATGTTTAACATTCTGGTAGCTATGATTGTTTGTATTATTTACAGCTAAGCACTGGGAAGTGGAGGAATCAGGTGCTCTTCTAATGAGCAACGGGAAGATCAGGGGTGTCCTTGTCTCGTTGTAATGCTTACAAAGCTGTTCACTGGTGGGACCAGGAGGACCACTCTGCTGGTATTATTATTACTGGGCTGTATGGAGACCAGGTGCTCCTGCTTTTCAGCTCTTTACTTGTACTACGTACACCTGTTCGCATGGCAGGAAGAATCAGGTACTGGTTTAGTGAGCAATTGAGAATTCAGGTGTGTTGCCTTCGGCTTGTATTATTTTAATTTACACCTGGTCCCTGCGTAATGAAAAGATTGACTGTACCATTCTCTGCCTTCAATGTGTATAGGTCTTCAGTGAACACAGATATGGCATTTCTTCACTAAGTTGAAGAATAATGGGGGTAAAAGAGGAAAGGGTGCTCTTGTAAGTTTCTACCAGGTACTGCTTGGCACTGTATAGTGGCTTGAACTATGTGCAGCCTCTGACAGGTCAATGGAGAAGGTCAGAATACCTGAACAATAAGATGATGGGAAGCATCCATATTAAATGATGGAAAAAGTAGGCTTCTAGGCAGGTGCGGACTGACAACTCATGGGGCCCCCGGGCAATAGGGGATCATGGGGCCCCTGTGTCCTTGCCCAAATTTAAAAAAGCCTATAAAAAAGTTACCAGGGGCATCTCATGGGGGCCCCCTCTGACCCCAGGCCCTCGGGCAGTGCCCGAGTTTCCAAATGGTCAGTCCGCCCCTGCTTCTAGGACAAAATGCAAAAAAATTTGTACCTTGGCTGTTACTTTTTTATAAGATATTTACATATGTACATCTCAAGAAATATGTGTTTGAACCAGTAACTCTAGTCTCACCTCATTTTTACCCAGGCCAGTGTCTAGGACTGAAAACTGAGAGCAATTTTGCTTTGACTGACCATCTCTGAACACATGGATAAGTCCAGTTGCAGACGTAACCTGCCAGGGCTGCCCAAAAGCTTCACAAGGCTACGTCATTAAAGTAGCTTCAGCCATTCTCTGCTATCCCTGCTCTGGAGGACTGTGTAGCCAGTGGCGGACAATGTTAACAAAGGACCCCTATGCAACATCATTTCTGGAAGACAGTTATGGGGAATAATTAGGGCATCACAAAGAATACCTTTTGCTCTTTACCTGCTCTAGAAGTGAGCAATATCCAGTCTGTGTAACAGAGGCAGTGGGTACCAGTACCTACCTAATGTGAATGGACACCTGAAGCCCAGAGCGTTCTTGTGCAGTCACAGAGTCTGTGAAAAAGTATTGAAATAAACTTGAAAGAGCTTAAATATATATTTATTTACACTTGGCACAATGCAGTTAGACAAGTACCGTTCTTTTGGCAACTGCCAAACTCAGACACATCCATAGACTTGCCAGACAGAGAAGCTTGCTTTATCACTCCAGAGAACACATCTCCACTGCTCCAAAGTCCAGTGGCGGCATGCTTTACACCACTGCATCAAACGCTTTGCATTGCATTTGGTGATGTAAATCTTGGATGCAGCAGCTCGGCCATGGAAACCCATTCCATGAAGCTCTCTACGCACTGTTGTTGTGCTAATCTGAAGACCTCATGAAGTTTGGAGGTCTTCAGCTATTGACACTGCAGACAGTTGGAGATGTCTGCGTCCTGTGCGCTTCAACATGCGCTGACCCCGCTCTGTCATTTTACGTGGCCTACGTGCTGTTGTTCCCAATTGCTTCCACTTTGTTATAATACCACTAATAGTTGACCATGGAATATTTAGTAGCAAGGAAATGTCACGGATGGACTTATTGCACAGGTGACAACCTATCACAGTATCACCGTTGAATTCACTGAGCTCCTGAGAGTGACCCATTCATTCACAAATGTTTGTAGAAGCAGTCTGCATGCCTAGGTGCTTGATTTTATACATCTCTGGCCATGGAGGTGATTGAAACACCTGAATCCAATGATTTGGAGGGGTGTCCCAATACTTCTGGCAATATAGTGTGTGTGTGTGTATATATATATATATATATATATATATATATATATATATTCTATTTATATTTGCCTTACAGATAAAGTATATAATGAAAATATGAACGGTAGTTACAGTAGTTTGATATCTGCCCTTGGCACAGTATCCTAGTTCCCTTCACTTGCCTTTTCTTTCCTTTCTTGTCATTTAGCACCAGTAAGTACAGCTTTGTATTGGAATACATTCAGGTTTGAAAATTTGTATTGCCACAACAAATTGCCTTCTGTATTAAAAAGTGTTTTGTAGGCTAAAAATATCATCACAAAATGTATTTGTCTTAATGCAAATGAAAAATCGGACAACGGCGGTACAATGATATGAAATTGGTTCACTGCAGCACAGCTGGATCACTGAATAATTCTTTTCCAGCATGGAAAGGGAAGTGTTCAAATTTGATTGCTGAGCAGTAAAGTGGCATTGAACATTGGTTTGCATATTGCTTGAAGCTTGTTGTATGATCATGCATAAATGCTATGGAGTTATTTATCTACTTAACTGGGTTTTAAAATATAGCCTAAAAGGGCTGAAAAGGAGTCATATCATAGGTACTCTTCAAGAGGACCTGTACTGTGTAGCTGTTCCCAAAATGGCATGCAGAGAATACAGGACTAGTCACCAGTATTGCCTGTCATCTTCCTGCAGTTGATCTTTTCCTCATTACTGACTTGTTTTGTGCTGTTGCCTGTGTGGAGTTGGACATCTTGGTAGAGGAGCAGAGCATTGCTTCTTCAAATCAGAACTGCCCTGATGACTAATGGGGATTGATCAAGAGGCATAAAGAATTCAGAAAGATCAGATTCACAGAATGAATGAAGCACAAAATTGATGCAGGACTTCAGGGACTACTTCCTTTCCTCCAAGGAGAACAATGAGTGGCACAACAGTGACATCACTAAATCGCATGAGACCAACAGTCAGAGGCACAGTGCCTTATATGATCTCACGTTGCAGATATCTTTTACAGCCATTCGGCTCAGGCAAAGAAATGTGTAGGCACAAAAAAGTGAACTGCTATTTTATTTGGAGGAAATCAAAACTAAAATGTAGATTTTGCAGGCTACTGCTGAGGCCCAATTAACAGTGTTAACATTGCAGCAGAGAACTAGGAATGCACACCTGTGCCCAATCCTAGGTCTGAGACTCTGCCACTGATGCTGCTAAATATGGTCTAAGCCTCAATGATTTCTGGTCAAGAAATGGTTAATACATGGAATGGAAATAATGTACAGTAACCTATACCCACCAAACAGTTGGTATATGATTGGCTGTTGTGGATTACTGCACCAATGCTTTTTGCACTATGCTTTCAAATCAGTCATTAAGTCTCGTAAAAGTCACATTCCACCATTTGCACCATGTGCCAAGAGGCCAGTGTATAATTTCTACTGCGAAATAAAATTGTATTGTGATAATGGCACGGGAAATCAATCCCCCTGTCTCAGGAAAGGCCATTAGGTCATACTTAGCGAAGCTAACGGGAGCCAGCTCTTATCTGTATGGGCGTTCTTCCAAATGATATTAAAGTTCAGATTTTTTGAATGGGATTCTATTTCCAGCTAGACACATGTAAACATATACCCAGTGTTCTAGGAGAGCAAAGAGCCTGAGACAGTCTAGGAGAAAATAAAACAACCACTATGGAAAATTGTTTATCACCCGCTGGATCACAGTCACACAGCCATGGGTGTATTTCATGGGACACTGCAGGCAGATTCTTTCCTGATATATAGGCATTCATTTTAGGCCAAATGCACATGGCGCAGTCCAGCTGCAGTGTGTCCCTTCCGGCATTTTAGTGTGCCTAGTAGAGGCAGCGTCCAGCCCCCCTGACAAACTCAGGCCATGGCAGGATGGGGCTGACACTGTACCAAGAGGGTGTTTAGGGCCAAAGGTCCAGAACTTAGGTCTTCTGTGTCCCAGACGTTCATCCCTGAACACCCGTACCACTCAGCAGGGGCGGACTGACCATTTGGAAACTCGGGCACTGCCCGAGGGCCCGGGGTCAGTAGGGGGCCCCATGAGATGCCCCTGGTACCTTTTTCATAGGCTTTTTTGAGTTTGGGCAAGGACACGGGGCCTCGTGATCCCCTACTGCCCGGGGGCCCCATGAGTTGTCAGTCCGCCCCTGCCACTCAGTACAACATTCCACCCTGTCAAGCTGCAGCAGAGTTTGACAGATTATGCTGCACCTGTGCATTCGGGGTTCACTACAATTCTGCGATGGATGCACGGCAACTAGACTGGCGTGTGCAAGAGGCCTATAGTGTGCAAACTGCTATGCACAGTGAATCATAGCAACCAATAAAAATTTATTTTTCTCTGATTGCAAAAAATTGATGTATATTTACATTTCCTTCTTTCTGTTCAATGTCAAGAGCCGAAGGAATTACAAAGTACTTCCAGGCATGTGGCTCACGCCATGTGATAGCCTGGGACAAATCAGCGCCATCACACAAAGACTCAATGACCCTGGTAAATAAGTAAGTAAGCTACCAGTGAGATCTACTATAACAGTGGGGCAGCACAGTGGCTAAATGGTTAGCACTTCTGTCTGGCAGTACTAGGGTTGTTGGTTTGAATCCCAACCATGGCACCACCTGCCTGGAGTTTGCATGTTCTCCCTGTGCCTGCATGGGTTTCCTCCCACACTCCAAAGACATGTTGGTAGGTTAATGGGATCCTGTCTATATTGGCCCTAGCATGTGTATGTATGAATGTAAATTAGGGACCTTAGATTGTACACCCCTTGAGGGTTAGGGACTGATGTGAATGTACAATATATATGTACAGCACTGCATAAATTGATGGCATTATATAAGTACATGTGATAATAATAACAGTCTCCAAACTGCAGCCCAGGGGCTTTTATCCAGTTCTTATGGCACTTTTCCTGATGCTGCTACAAGACACTATTCCTACCACTGACACCAACAAAGGGGCATAATTCCTGCTATTGACATTAACCATGGGGCACTATTTCTCCCATTGATGCCAACAATGGAGCATTGTTCCTCCCACTGATAGCAACGACAGGGCACACTTCCTTCCACTGATACCAGTATAATTTCCATTCCCAATGGCCACAGTCCAGCCCCCTAAAGTCTGAAGGACTGTAAACTGGCCCTTTGTTGAGAAAGTTTGGAGGCCCCTGGACCAGGGATGGGCAGGAGCGGCAGCTGGCTTGGGCACAGCGGAGCAAGGGGGCAGAGAATGGACACAGGTCAGTAAACCTATTCTACGGCATGCATTATCAGTGGGGAAGGGGGTGCAGTTCTGCATCCTTTCCCTGGGCATAAGATGATCTTGTCCCAGTACTGCCCTGGACTATAAAGTAAACCTATCTGTTTGCACAGCATGGGCTAAGCGGAGGTTCAAATTCAACTCTAATCTACATTTTTCCAGTGTATTGGGGCTTCTTATATACCATGCTAGTGGCAGCTCATTGTCTCACAAAGTAAAGAACAAAGATATGAATGGATCTCCCATATTTCTGTTAAGGCAGGTGCCCATTAATGTAAATTTTATTGAACTTCCCAAAATCCCATGAAGCTAATTTTTAATAGAGAAACTACAGCCTCCTGCTAATTATTCTGGGCTTCCTAGACAATGCATTTAGGTGAGCCAGGATGTGAATATGTTGTTTATGAATGATCAGGGATGTGAATGATTAGATTGGGGTGGTACCAGGGGCGGACTGACAACTCATGGGGCACCCCGGGCAATAGGGGATCATGGGGCCCGTGTCCTCGCCCACACTCAAACCACACCCAAAAAAGCCTATGAAAGGTACCAGGGGCATCTCATGCGGCCCCTTACTGACCCCGGGCCCTCGGGCAGTGCCCGAGTTTCCGAATGGTCAGTCCACCCCTGGGTGGTACAGAAGCATGCATTATGTACATTGACTGTACAATTCTGGGTGTAGTTGGAAAACCCATACTACTAAGCTGATTTCAGGCAAAGTATTCCATACAGCAAAGTGGACTGAAATACAGAGGTTAGGCCACTTACTGTGTATTTAATTTAATTTTTAAGTTTGGTGAGTGCATAGTATTAATAACCTGCACTACATTGCATTGGAAGAATATTGCAGGGCTAAGCATTTGTGCAAGCGGCATAATACACATACATGCACAAAGAAGTGTGCATATTTCTTTAAATTATGTATTTCTATCCAAAATACATTTCCCTTTCAGGAGAATAACCTATATGGTCCTTTGAGTATTTGTACCTCTTGTTTTACTGTGCTGATTATCAGAAATCTAGAAGAATTGATGCTGTTTGTGAACTATCAGTGTACTTGAGCACCCCCTTCTGGAATCAAGTGGAAGCACAAGCAACTTTTACATGAAAGGATATCCATATTACTGTTAAGTGACCACTTGATTTTACAATCCCAAAGAGTTCCTGTTTTTTAAACATTGTATGATGTTACCATGGTGATCAGGGCTGACAGCAATCCAGTGGCATTGCAGTCTTCTAAACCTCATTCAAGTCAAATAACTTGTTTAATTTCAGATCTGCTCTATTAGCAGATCATTTGCTTTTATATTTAAAGCTGAAGTATGGGCAAAATTGATTTTTGGCCATTTTCACAGTAAAAAATAATTGAGTTCTGATGACTTGTGCCCCATCTCTGGCTGTTGCAGCATGGGTTACGTATTCTACTTTTGCTCAAGCCACAGTCTTCTGTCGACAAGAAAGGTTTAGTGCTGAGATTTGTAGTTCTGGCTTCAGTACACTTAATACACTGATCACTGTCAGTCACCTTCTAGGCATCTCCTCCATAAAAAGCCTTGTATTCTTTTAAATTAATGCTAGGCGCTCTGTGAATGGCGGAGGAGCAGATGAACATCACCATCTCCTCTCTTCCATTCACAGTGCACCTTGCATTAATTGAAAAGAATACAAGGCTTTTTATGGAGGAGGTGTCCAGCGAGCGACCCACAGTGATCAGTGTACCACAGCCAGAACTACATATCTCAAAGCCGGACTTTTTGGCACATACAAGGGACTGCTGCCTGAGTTAAAGTAAGATATGTACCAAACACT